AAATGTATTGACAATCCGACTGATCAATAGTCAACAAAACTAATTATAACGAAAATATAGTTTTAAGTGAGGTAATTTTATTTCATGCTTTTCTTTGCCAAATTTAAGTTATTTTTTTTGGTCTTCTTCCTTCTTTTAAAACTGTACGCTTTTACGACCTGCACAACATAAAATTGTTTTATAATGATGATCTTATGATTTGTCATTCGCTTCTTCTTGGTATTGAATATTGAATAATATATATCTTATGTAATTACCTATATCTATTATCTATGTATCTCTAATATGTATATTTATGTATTATGACATCAGCTAGTGAGGAGAGCCTTCTACCTAAACTCAATTTCTTTTGGTAATCCACAGGCATAGGTTGATGGTTTCTTTTATAATGTTATCCTATTTATCATTTTACTTAACTTTCTTGTATTCGTTGTGACTGTTATACTCCTTTAATGTTATGTTCCTGGAAATGAAAGGAAAATGAATAAATAAATAAATAAACAAATGAATGAATAAAGTACTATGCCTTTGAAAATGATGGAATTCTACATTGATGACAGTTTGACACAATGTCTTTCAAAATAAACTCAGGCTTATTTCAAACAGAGTGGCACTTTTTATCGGTAGGCCTATAAGTTTTGTTTTAATCAGCAAAGAAAATAGGCCTAGACTATAGTACACCACTTGCTGAGCTGAAGATGATATAGAGATTAGAAATGTAGATAACGTCTGTCCAGCTCGCTGCTGTTTGGGCCTGGTAAACCAAAGTGACGTCATCAAATCGGGAAATGCTTCCGTATCATTTTTTTTTTCGACCCCCCCCCCTCCTCTCTCTCTCTCTCTCTCTCTCTCTCTCTCTCTCTCTCTCTCTCTCTCCCTCTCTCTCTCTCTCTCTCTCTCTCTCTCCCCTCTCTCTCTCTCTCTCTCTCTCTCTCTCTCCCTCTCTCTCCTCTCTCTCTCTTAAAATATTTCGATCTTTTCTTCAAGATCCCGACTTTCTCCCTTTCTTTTATCATATTTTTTTTGAATTTCTCCTCTTCTTCCCTTCCACCCCTCCCCCTCTGAGCGTTCCGATGATCGGTGAAAACAGCTTAAAATTTTACTGAACAATAATGATGTTTGTTTTACCAACAACTTGCCCTTGTATAAATGTTTTTTTCACTCCCCATCTACCAAAAGTTCATTCACAACTTTTCAGATAAACTGGATTTTTAATGAACCCAATTTCAGGGTAGATATCCCCCTATAATCAACCTCGCCAGACAGTCGCGTGCATGTATTTGAAAGCAAAGAAGAAAGTTGACAAATTAGGGGGGGGGGGGGTAAATGTTCTATCGTCTCTTTCGTCTGAGTAGTGTCTGGGTACACAGTGACCAATGATGCGTCATCGATGCGGTATGTGCGCAGCTTTATTATTCACTATGTCTTTATGACGTCAGATATTCTTCAGATAAAATGAAACGGGCCCCAGATGTGCGACCACCGTCTTACTAACAAAGACATTTGGAATTCCGTGAACAAAGGACTCAAGTGATCTTCGTTTTCATCTTAAAGTGGTAGCATGCTATTTACCTTCCGGTTCCGGAAATGAAAATGCCGATAATAATCTTTTATCATAAACAAAATATCACAAACACCAATGCCTAATAATATTTCTGACATATTAGTTCTAATCTAGTTATTTCCTTTTTCTCCATACCGTTTACGGACTGGAGCAAAAGAGATAATCGTTTTCTTAATCACTATCGCCTGAAATAAAAATAAATGGTAATAGACTTACATCTAGTGGCATCCTCCCACGCATCCCCCCATTTGAATGAAAAAGACATGGGAGAGAGAGAGAGAGAGAGAGAGAGAGAGAGAGAGAGAGAGAGACATGGGCAAATTTGACTAATTTTGCTTCCCGAACTCCTTGGTAAAAGCTGCATTCACGAGCGCCCCTCCATCATAAGCATTTCGGTGTTGGGGGGGGGGGGGTGGAGGGGAAGGGGGCTAATGTTCAAAGGATTTCACATCAGCATACCTATTTACAATATTCATGAATACGAACGCAAACAAAATAATGAGGGAGGGACTATTCAAATTTATGTCTCCTTCTCGAATCAAAACATAGTATTTCGCATTATTTCTCTTTCACATCATGATGAAACTTCATCCCGGTGTGCAGGGGGGCGTTTCACAAAATTTGTCATCAGTGACAAATGACATTTTTTGTTTAAATAAGCTACTGAAATCCTTGCTTCTGATTGGCCATCACCAGATTTGTCACAGATTTTTGTTATTTGTCATTGAAGAAATGCTTTGTGAAATTCCCCCCCCCCCCAAGGTGTAAGGATTGTCATCTCCATAGGGACTAGACTTCGAAGAACGTGTTATAAAGCTTCCCGTTAAATCGTCAGGGTTTAATTCAGTGTGTATAAAGCATGACATGCGGCAATTAATGCGTGAAATGAGTTTAATCGACCGTTCAGAACTGATGATGGCGTTTTATAATGTGATACCCGTTGTTTTTCAGTATCGTTTAATCTCAGTAGAAAAGTGAAATATAAAGGTTTTGTGTTGATCTTAATCAGAACATTGACTAAAGTGTAGCCTTTTCTGCTTCTGCTGCAATTTTTTTAGCACGATCGCAAACATTTAAGAAAATCGACTTAATGACAACTTCAATATATTATATCCGGCAAGAGATGAAATTAATGATTATCATATTTGAAATAGCCTCAGCTTGTTAAATTCATGAACCTTTTCGAAGGTACCTGAAAGCAACATTATATGAAGCAACATATTTATGAATATAAAGCAACATAACATACATCAATAGCACCTTGGCAACCATCGTTTATTTGCATTTTTAGTTTTGTATAAGATGTAATTGTATTTCAGTCTAGCGCTTAGAGACTTCGGTGGTAAGCGCTTTATAAGTAACGTTTTTATTATTTTTTTATTTTGTATTATTGAGGGAATTAATTTAGTTGAGGATAAAAAAAGGAACTTGATTGTACCAAAATGTATAGAAAGCAATGGATAATGGTGATAGAATGACATAAACTCATTATAACAAAGGTGATTCTCAAATTTTCCCTTGATTACAATGTCTTTTAAAATAAAAATCATACCTAAAATTGTTATACGTTGTCTAATTTTCTTACAACTATATGTTTCGCTATCTATTAGTCTGATTTTATTGCTTGCATTGGTCATGATTAATCGATAAAAAGGGTATCCCTTTCCCAAATTGCCTGCATCATAATTTTATTACCCTTTTTGTTATCCTCATTATTCTTCTTCTGGGACCATTATACCAATCCCCGACTATAGACCCCGATCGGTCTGCTACAAAAGGGCGGGGAAGGATCTTTTTAATATATTTGAAAGATAATATATTTCAAATATATTTAAAAGATATTATGGAAACCGACAATAGGACGACAAAACCCGATAACAGACAGACTTAAAAGTGCCAGCCAACCGACACCTGCCGACACCCCCCCCCCCTCCCCCGAATGGCACCGATTTGTCGGTTTATGGTCATTTTGGGGGTCGGGCTGGCGGTGTGACTGTATAGTACTTGCGAAGGTGAGAACATTGTTTTCGCTACATTCTTGCATACTTATAATGACCTCTGTTTCGCTCTCCTGCTTTTGAGAAAAACATGTCGCGTTGGGGCATCAGTCTTTACAATAAACAAAACTAAAATATTCAACATATTTCAGGCTTAACGCCCCGATACGTAATGCGTTATGCATACCGGGACCTTATAACATGAAAACATATAAATAGTGAAAGTGTAAATTGTATCGATACTATAATATACTCAGCTAGTAAAATGAAAAGGGAAAAGGGAAATACTTTTGAAAATTCCTTTTTATTAAAATACCTTGAGAGTTTAGATTGACAAAAAGAAGAAAAAGATCTCTTCACAGGCCAAATAACCTACTCAAACTCATAAAATAATGAAAGCTCACCGGCTTACACTGTACTGATGCCAACAACACCATAATCAAATTCGGCACACTATTATTCGCAACATTTTGTATATATATTTTGTTAATTCTCATAATACTAATACACGAATGTGCGTGCTTATTTCAAAAGATACGTAAAACCACATGAGAAGAACTAAAAAAATTGGATGGTAGTTCATGCCTCTGTATACATGCATTATGTTAATAATGCCTTGAATATTATGCTGGTACATTGAAGTAGAACCATGAAATATCATTTTGTATATCCTTGGCCCACTTGATATAGTAGGGTTATCTGGTTATTTACGTCAGATATAATTTATGATGATAATAATCTTGAGAATAAATCGCAATACAGATAAACATACAAGGTGAGAAAGGATACATTTTTATTTATTTGAAAAAATTATATTTAGCACAAGCAAATACATCAAATTATCCTTTGGTATAAAATGGATAACAATAACACGGTCGCAAAAACTCAATTTCGATACCAATTGTGCGTCCACTTTTTGAATTGTGCGAACATGACTATGAGAATGACATAATATTTCGAATCCGCTTTTTTAGACAATACAAAAAGGTGTTTTTTAAATCGCCCTTGGGTTGATTTCTTGAAAGTCTTTGCGATCATGTTTAAAGGTAAACCAGTTTTGGAAACGCCCCAATTTCAAAAAATGAAATGGAAGCTCTTATTACCAATCATGTGAAAGAATATGTTTTGACTAATACATGATGTTAACAATTTTGCCGGGAAACCGCCTACTAATTGATATATTTGGTAAATTAGTTTATCTATTGGTATGTGAGAGATAAACGCACGTCTTTCTGTGTACATAATACAGTGCTTGTAACTTTACAAAGACTGGGCCAAATTTCTTATCATTTTGATGATTCCAGAACCTTGCAGTACATCTATGCTAGATGATCAACCTTTTCTGATCGATTCCACAACGTTTCTTTCACAATGCAGTCGCATGACCATAACTGGTCTTTATCTTTAAATCATAATTGATTAATGACAATAATAATCACCTTGTCCTCAATGTCCTTGTTGATCCCGCTCGGTGGTGCTCGGCCCGTCATGTTGATTTATTTCTGTGGTACTCCTGAAGCTGAGTCAAATTGAAGAGAGGATATTCAACTCCGAAATGTTCCCCTATTTTATATACTACAATGAAAGGTCGGCCGAACCTAGTTGCTTCAGGTCGAGTCGTCTCACCAGACAATTACAAAAAAGAAGGTGTGTTCCTATTGTTCGCGAGTGGACAAAACTGAGCTATAGCTCAATAATTGTACTGGTAATATATCCAGTAAAAAGAGAGAATGTTGTGTCTCACGGTCTGGCTCGTATTGTAAATGGTTTGAAAATACGATTCGCGAGGTAAGGTGCTGTAATGCGTATGATATCTGTTGTATCCTAGATCGGGATAATGGCGGGAAACATCCACACAAAAATGGTCACACCCTCTCCGATCCGATCTCGCGCTCTAGGCTACAGCCGGGTGACGAGTCGTTTTATGCGATTTAGGAAAGAAAGAAAATTACTATCGCATGGCTGGCTGGCTATTCTGTGTTAGCAATGGACCTTCATGAAACAAGATCACTGTTTTTGTCTTCTTCCTTGTTTACACGTTGGTGATAATAGTGTGCAAAGAATGTGGCGGTAAGATTTTGTTTCCGTCGAGGTATAGGTGACAAACAAGCATATCGAAGTGGCATAACCAGATAACAGGTAGTTGTGACATGTAGGGGCGGGGCAGCTTGATGCATGCATGCTTATTATCATAGGCCTATGTTATGAATGAGATATAGAAATCACATTCATATCGATAAAGAAACAAATGAACTTAATTAATTTAACCATTCCTTTCGATAATTAATCAAGGATGGGAGGGACAGTTTCGATAATCAACGTAGTTATATCAGGCATGATTCCATTTTTACTGATTTGATTAATTTGAAATCTATGTGATCCATGATAGTACATTCACCGCCCATACCCCCCCCTTTCCACCCCCCCCCCCCCCTTCTTGTGAATGAGAGAGAGAGAGAGGCGTCTGGAGCGGAAGCGGAAACGCTTGCCAGGTTCCCGTTGCTACTTGCTAGAGGGATGAATGGTCACAGACATCACGGCATGATTCTTAATGAAGTATATAATCAGGGAGTTAAAATGAAGGTTGTAACTTCAGAACTCTTGTCTTACGAGAGCGGACCCAGGATAACCATTACATGCAACAAAGAGAGAGAGAGAGAGAGAGAGAGAGAGAGAGAGAGAGGGGGGGGGGGGGGGGGCTGGGTGGAGCGTTAATGTGAAAAAACTGCAAACCCCTGCAAGGGAGTAATGTTGAGAGAATTTAGCTTCTTTCTTTGACAAAGTTTGACAAAGAAAACAAAACGAAATGCGAATCCTTATTCCTTACCAAAAATTGCACAGTGGCGCACACAGAAATTTATAAATGGAGGAGGAGGGGCAGGCACCTGGGAAGCCCCACGTTGTCCTGAAGATTCATTCAAAGTAGTATCATTTCGTCTGGATTCAAAGGGGAATGGTAAACGCTGGCTTCACCCGTGGGGGTTCTAACTGCCCCTGTTCACCCCACTGTCGTTCTGTATTTACTCATTCTCTTTAATTACCATTCACGGTCGCATGTGCTTTGAATGAGAATGGGACTTATCTCTTGTAACGATTCATACTATTAGAATGCCACCACAGTAAGCAGTTGAAAGATGAGTCCTTGCAGCAATTCTAAAGTGATTGAGAAAACATAATCCTTCATAATTTTTGTAACGAGCGTTTCGAAGGATATTGAGAAGGTCTTTAGACAACATTTAATTTGCATGTTCCGAGTGTTGAACCTTCACCGCAGTTTGATAATTGAAAAGTGATCTGCTGAGTGGAATCACAATAGCTATATTGGTTTATTAAAAGGCGCCGGTGGGAGGGGTGGGGGCGTTCCCCTCCCCCCCCCCACTCAGTGTTATTTAGGGTACGCGTATGCATGTTCCCTCCTTTTGAAAACACCCCCCTAAGCCCGGTGTATAAAGTCAATACGGGCCGGATTTTTGTGTACTACGAGCCAGACTTTGGTGCGTGAAAAGTACCTCTTTACCGGAAATTTTGGGAACACGCATGCGGTCCCCTCGACCCCGGAGTGGGGGTGGGGGGGGGGGGGGGGGTTCCGTATGAATCCGCCTCGTTTGTGTACGTGCCTGGATTGGAGTCATGAGTGTGATGTCATGCAGAAAGAGGTTTGGATATAGGACTGAACGAGCTTTGTCGAGTGTTTATTACCCATGCAGGTTCTTGTCTATATTATAAGCTGTATTCAAATTGATGATTCACACTATAATGAGCCAATTTATTAGACCGACAGAAGAAAAGTGAAGTAGTTGGGGAGAAGAGAGGAAGTCAAGAGCAAACGGGAAAGAGAGGGAGAAAAGCAGAGAGCGGGAAGAAGGATAGAAAACAGAGATGATCATGCAGTCAGAGACAGAAAGAGATGGGTAAAGAGTTGGGGGCAGAGAGAACTTTGGGAGACAGCGATTGGCAAGCAGACAGACAGACAATCAGAGAGAGAGAAAGAGAGGGTGAGAGAAAGAAAGAGTGAGAGAGGGGAGGGAGAGAGAGAGAGAGAAAGGGAGAGAGAGAGAGAGAGGGAGAGAAGCATAGAGATAGACAGACGGACGGAGAAAGAGAGAGAGAGAGAGAGAGAAAGAGTGAGAGAGGGGTGGGAGAGAGAGAGAGAGAGAGAGAGAGAGAGGGGGAGAGAAAGATAATTATTTTAAAATTATAGACAAATTCAAATAATGATTCTTGTTTTATCGTTCATGTTTTGAGCGAAGCATTGCCTTATCACGATTAAAAAAACACCAAATCCTTTTGTAGTGAATTAAAAAAAAAAAGGGAGAGAGAGAGAGAGAGAGAGAGACATACGGGCAGAGAGAGTGAGAGAGAGAGAGAGAGAGGGAAGAAAAAGACAATTATACCATTATATACAAATTCAAATTATAATTCATGTTATATCGTTCATGTTTGAGCAAAAAACATTGCCAATTTTGGGGGCATAATCCTTTCAAAGCGAATAAGGAAAAATTGACGGGACGAGGAAAATGATAGCTTGAATGGATTAACGCATTGCGTGATATACGGAAATGAGATTACCGGGCTCAGTTGAGACCACCCCTAGGTTCCATGGAAATACAATCATATTTTGCAAAACAGATGTATCAAGGCACATTTGGTTGTTCATAACGTTCTCTTCCTCCTATTCATTCTATATTTTCTTTCTATTCTGAATGAAATTCATAAAACGAAGATATATTCTGATATAGACTTATTCGGTTTTCGCTTTCTTTTCTTCTCGAGGAGGTTGTTAAATTAAATTAAGGTCATTTTCTTTCTCCCATTTTTTTTACACTTTCGTCGTTTATCTTGTTTATTTAGCTAGGGTTAAGAAGTTAGAAGTTGATAGATTTGTTGCGCGTGGCATCCATGCCTGTTTTATTCCTCTATATTTGTGGAAAAAGTGTTAAAAAAAACAACCCCACAAATTATGGCAGAAGTAGAAAAGGCGACAATTTAGTCAATATTGTAATTAAGAGCAACACAAACCCTTTACGTTTCACTATTCTACTTGGATTAAACGAAATATAAACGGGTATCACATTATAAAACGCCATCACCTGAACGGTTGATTAAACTAATTACACGCATTAATTGCCACGTATCATGCCTAATTAATATACACACCTATTAGGTGTTTAGTAAACACTGACGACCTAAGACGCGTGTTTATAATACGCCCTTTGAACAACTAGTCCCTACGGAGATGAAAGAAAATGATGTGAAAGAAAAATAATGCGGAATAGATTATCGGTAGAATTATATGTTTTAATTCGAGAAAAGGACACGAATTTGATTAGTGCCTCATTTGTTCGCCTTTGTATAAGCCAGTTCACGGTTGCAGTCTGAGCATGAGCAGATAAAGGTCATTGCAGAACAAATTTTGAAAAACACAGAGACAAAATACTGGATACGTGCTCATGAAAGTTATGTGATCATTATTCATTCATGCACATTCAGTGCACTCCATGATACACAGGTGGAAGTATTCTTTGAAAAGGGGAAACAAAAGCTATCTATTTATCGCTGTAGGAGTGATTATTTCAAAATGTACAAAGTGGGACGTCTTCATGTTTTGAAGATCTGTGGATATTCGGGGTCATTGCAGTGATGTGCTAACCGTGAACTGGTCTATTGTAAGCTAGTTATGCTAGTGTGAAATCCCATTTCACAAAGTTTTGTGTGTATTCAATTGATCAGTAGGAGACTGAAAAGATTATCGTATATATTAATGTATATCATTTAGTTATAAAAGTCATACGGATAAAAACATTTGATTTGCCTTAACTCATTTATATTTTTCATGTGGACGAGTGGATATGTCACCGGACTGTGTATCACAAAGTCCGCGGTTCAAGTCCCACCGCGGCACTAATGTCCTTTGACAAGACATTGGTATACAGTTGCCACTCTTCACCCACGGGTGTTAAATGGGTACCCGGTAGGATGCGAAAGCTAATGTGCTTAGATTAGCAAGTGTGTACTTGTAAAAATGACGCCTGGCTGGAATGCTCCCCAGAGAGTGGAGAATAAATTGTGTGCGGGTAAGCCTGAATCCGATGACCGGGGTAATAATATATATATATCTGTAAAGCCTTTCGAGAGTGTCTTCGGTCCTGAAAAGCGCTATATCAGCTATTATCATTATTAACAAAAAAATAATTACAAACTCTATACATGACGAAATAAATGCGACACAAGTTTTGTTTTCCTCAATCTATTAAAAGGGGCACTGGCCCACCCACCCCTTCGCTTTCCTCCCCGGATCAAGACTCCGGATATAAACTTAAGTAACTTCCCCAACCCCACACCCGAACGCCCCCACGAATACCTTCCTCATGTTGGAAGACAACACCATAACAGACAACAGGGATCAAAGATGACGGAAACGAAGTCAAACCAGTGGATATATCCATTACAGCATGACATCCGGAAGATGCAGATTTATTTGCTACTGTTTTTTGTTGTCGACAATCCTTTCGATCGGGAATAAATTCAAAGTTACAGAGGACAAGGAAATCGCTTCCCATATCGAGTGACTTTTAAATGGACCAGTATACAGATAAATTCAGGAGCAAATATAGGGATTCTGAAATAGGGTATGGAGCACAATATCGACAACAACGATTTTAACAATGCCAACAACTACAACGACGACAGCGGCAACCATAACACCACCACCAACAACAACAACACCAACAAGTTTTTACACATTCCACGCACCTTTGGGTCTAGAATTTTAAAGGGAACACAAGAAAACAATGAAGGGGTGCAATATTTGTAAACTTTAGGTATGCTAGAATGAGTTTTTATTTAAAGGGGTTGGGGGGGGGGGGGGCTGGTTGTGCCCCCTAAAGTAATTAAAAATAATACTTAGAAAATTGATTCTAGCAGTAACTTTGTGACTTATTTATTGTTTTAATCCTTGATTCTCAAAAAATGAATTAGCCAATCAATCAGATACAAATCATACTTCTCTAAATAAACTAGATACATGTACATGTAAATGATAAACAGAAATTA